CTGGGCCCCCCAAGGGGAAAGGCCACAACAGGGAGGGGCCTGCGTACCCCAAAAAAAAAAAAAAAAAAAAGAAGAAGTACCAAGGGAATTCCCTGGCGGTCCAGTGGTTAGGACTCCGTGCTTCCACTGCAGGGGGCAGTTGATCCCTGGTCGGAGAACTAAGACCCCGCATGCCGTGTCACGTGGCCAAAAACCAAAAAAATTAATTAAAAAAAAAAAACGTAGCACCAGACTTCGAGATAACAAGCACCTGACAGGTAAGACACCATATTGAAAACCCACCCCATCCCGTTCTGCTCCTAGAATGATAGCAGCCAGGCTTATTACCTGCTAGGCAGAAGTTTGATGGATCCCTCTCTGAAAAAACTGATTGGTCCCAGAGAAAAGACCTATAGGTTCATGTTTTGGAATCCTTCAAGAAGTTAGGACTCCTCCTGACTACCACGTAGTCAAGCCACCAGTAGATAAGCTCTGTTCTTGCGTGAAGAACTTTCAGTCAGCTTCTTTAAATATGAACAGTGAGCCAAGGACCCCCAGTCAGACATCTGGGGAAAGCTTCCAAAATGAAAGACCAAAACAAGCAAAAAGTAAAAAGGAACTTGGAAGAAACAGATGGCAATTCAAGGAGCTGAAGAAAACCTTAAGAAAAAAAAAAAAAAAGAAAGCCTGTATTATTATCTTCAGAGATAAGAGATCATCCATGATGCTAGAAGAGAATGCAAATAAAACCAATCATCTGCTAGAAGAGAATGCAAATAAAACCAATCATCAGAGAGAAAGAGATCCTGGAAGTTAAAAATAAGATAACCAGAACAAAAATATGTTAGCGGTATGGGAATATAAAGTTGAGGAAATTTCTTGGAAATTAGAACAAAATCTCAATGAGGTAGAAAAAAGGGGGGAACGGGTAAAATTAGAGAAGCCGTTCAAGAAGTTCAACACCTGCCTGATCGGACTTTCAAAAAGAGAACAGAGGAGGGCTTCCCTAGTGGCGCAGTGGTTGAGAGTCCGCCTGCCGATGCAGGGGACGTGGGTTCGTGCTCCGGTCCGGGAAGATCCCACATGCCACAGAGCGGCTGGGCCCGTGAGCCATGGCCGCTGGGCCTGCGCGTCTGGAGCCTGTGCTCCACAACGGGAGAGGCCACAGCAGGGAGAGG